ATATTTTTAAATAAGCAAAAATATGGAAATTAAAGCCCATATTTCAATTGGCATTTGTGCGGATCAGTCATACTTTTTTACGGTATACTTATATTACTTAATATTTTATCGCTTGACTGAGAATTGGCTTTTTTATTATATTATTTTTGTTGTTGTCTCTGTTTTTTACAATAAGTTATGTGAACAATAGAGAACTGTATTTACTATGAAATCCTATTATAGTGTGAATAGAGGGAGAGAGAAAGAGAGGGAGAGAGAGAGGGAGAGAGAGAGAGAGAGAGACTGAAACTTATTAATTACTCAATTGAACATGCAAATTATTTTCTAACACTGGATTTTGTGATACAATAGGGTCGCAAATAGACCTGATTGAGCCAGGTGCGTTCCGCGGTCTGGACAAACTAGAGTTCTTGAAGTTGGACTCGAATCGATTGACAACTTTGCCGATATCAGTGGTGACAGATCTGCCGCCTCTTTACTCGTTTGATTTGCATAAGAATCAGTGGAACTGTGATTGCGATCTGCGGTCGTCGCGGGAATGGATGCTCCGAAACAATGTCCCGCAATCCATACCTCCCACGTGTCAGACACCCCAACGCGTGTCCGGACTCATGTGGAACTCTCTCGACATCGACGACTTTGCCTGCGCTCCCGATATCATCAGTACTGCCACTGAAGTGACCAAATATGTCGGCGGAAACGCCACCCTTTCCTGTGTTGTCAAAGGACAGCCCCAACCGAAGATCTTTTGGTATGTTTTACTCACCTATCATTCAATTTGTGTTTTCAATGCAAACGTTAACTAAAATTCAAACCAAATACTAAATTGTGTTAATCTGATGGACAGGTATGTTGACGACGGCTTCTATAGGAACCTGTCATCCCATTTGGTGAGAGGGGAGAAATTTTTCTTATACGAGGAGAAGAGCGACGGAATCGTGAACTCAATGCTAACGATCACCGGTTTAGAGGAATCCGATTCCCAATCATTCATCTGTTCGGCGGAAAACAGAGCCGGAATTGCGACCAAAAACTTTACCATAACTGTAATGGCGCTACCATTTGGAGCGGTGGCCGGTTGGTCGAAGGTGGAGGTGGCCGGCGCTGTGGTGGGCATACTCTCCTCATTGGTGTTCATCTTTGTGTTGGTCACCATATTTCTGATCCGTTCGCGTCGATCACACCATCCGCCGGACGACAAGCCCTCTCCCATATCGGTGCTCAAGAATCTGTCGCCCGGAGTGAAGTGCGAGTCATCCGGTATTAAGAGTCACGTGACTGTCATCGGAAAGGATGGCAATGAGAAGAAGCCCGAAAATGGCAACAATAGCTCCGGTTATGGCTCTGGAGGTATGACTCCGGACTTAACGAAGACTGGTTTTGATTTGAATGGATATCACAATAATATTTCCGGTAAATAGTTTATTGAGTAAATATATATTTAAACAAAGTTTTATCGCATTTTAAATATAAGAAAATAAGTTGACATTAAATGATTTAAACATAATTAACACATTTGTTATACACTATAGGAAACGGTTACACTACTAACGAAAGTCATTTCACGTCACAAATGATGCCAACAATTGGTTATCAAACCCAAAGCCAACTCTCGGTTGGGAACCAGAGTTTCACACAATTGGCACCCGATGTGAGCCAACAGTATAACTATAACTACGAGAACTATCAGGAAGTATACGACGCCGACGGCTACTGTACGGGACTGCCGGCCAGTGTAGCCGCGCAGGCATTCCCGCCCTCTTATCATCACAACTACCAAAACCATACGTTCGAAGACGAGGACCACAATAGCCAACAGATGGCTTACGACCCGCAGTCCTATCCCATACAATACGCCGCCACTACTGCTACTAATCAATACGTACCTCAAGAATCGCTGCCACAGCCGTCCCATCCGACTGTCTCTCAACAACAGCCACAACAACAGTGGAAGAGGAGTCCAATGCCTCAGGCGGTGGCTCCCGGTGTGCTTCAGCCAACTGTAGTCCGCTATTCACCCGACGAGGGCTACGCCGAAGAGCCGGCGCCCTTTCACTTGGAGGGCACCGAAGTCTAGTGTATTTCCTCATTCATATAAGACTTATATATTAATATAATTAACAAATTTTTAAATTATACTTAAAGAAAAAGTTACGTAAAGTTATATAAATATAGTATAAAACGACAAACAAATCAAAGAATGTATACAAACCACTGTTTATATATGTTTTTATACAAATGCAAACATGTTTTCCCCTCCTTTTAAGTTAGTATTTTCATTGACCAATACATTGAATGTCCGCCAAAACGTGTGTATGTGTGAGGAATGTCTATGTAAACCATGTTTACCATGATAAGATTTGTTGACATATTTTTGGATATTTATTGATAAATATTTTATGAGACAAATACCCGGTTGAAAGTCGCGGCCACTGACAGGACTGACAGAGAAATTATATATTAAATGTAAATTTAACGCTATATTATTGTCAAACAAACAAACAAAACATTTTTTTATACACAAAACATAATTAACATGTAATTTGTTTGACTATAAAATTCATACATTAATCGTAATTCAATTCATAATAATATTTAATTTGAAAATTGTATGAAAATATAATTTGCTTTTAATTTTTAATGAATCAAAAATTGATTTATAATATAAGAGATATGTTTTCCTTATTATATGTTTAATTTATAAATTTCCTAATATTTTTAGTTTCAAATTAATTTATAATGTAATTTACAAAACATTTAAAATTAATAATTAATTTGTGTGAAACAGTTGTATATATAGTGAGAGATATTTCAATCATATTTTATATCCATCGGTGAAACAAACATAAGAAAACATGATTTATATGTGTTTTGTTATTATTGAAAGATTTGCTATAATTTTATGGTCAATACATTAATAATATATTCATTTGTTTTCTCGGTTTCCTATTATCCGTACAATTAGTTTGTGATTTTGCTTTCAAATCATTAAATATAATTTTAATATATAAATGAAAATTTTGCATTAAATTGTGTTTTGTTTTCTCATTATATCTCAATTCAATTCACATCATAGGCTTTGTAAACAAATTCAATGCGAAAACTAGTAATTCATGAAAACATCACTCAATTAAATATTCACTAAATTATATAACATTTAATGAAAAAATATAACAAAATATATAAAAAATTTGTATTACAATTGAACAGAATTTGTAAAATATATACTTAAAAATGATAAATAAATGATTTCTAATAATTTGCTATTTTCATTATTTTAGACTATTATCTATTATTACATTATATACTCTATTATTTATAAGTTTTAAATTAATGATCGTAATGACTTTATATTGCTTATGTCACACCACCTGGACATCAATTATGCAATAGTAGGTATACATGTATGTGATAAATGATAGTCACAGTAGGATAAAAAAAATTTCTATCAAAAAATATAAATATAATATCACATATTTTCTTACAATATGCTAAAATTTTAATAACCTCTTGATTATATAATAAATGTCCATAATTTATATCAAGATATAAATAAATATGCGATTCACAGTTTTACAAATATTATTCGTTACGTGAAAAGTAATGTCAATTTTTGATGTACACAACATTGCACTTTACATTGTGTTTTACATGCTTTGCTCAACGATGTGTTATTTATACAGAATATTCTGTATTTATTCTTATGTATAATATGTAACCATATTATTAAGAAAGAGTAACTCAAATGATTAATGAATAATTCATTTTTATTTTTATTCAAATACTATTACACAATGTTTTTTGCGCTCAAAAGAATTGAATGCTTTTTATGACAATCGATAGCAAAGCATTTCTCCATTATTTGTAATACAGTATTACTTATACTATTGTAAAGATAGTATAAAAACCTTTATGTAGACATTGTATAGATTTCAAAAATAAGAGATGTTTTGATGAAATTTTCATCAAAATTATTATTTGTAAATTTAGTTTGTGTATTAAAACCTTTCAAAAATTTAAGTTTTATCTTAATTTTATAATTAACTTACATCGGATTTAATTTATAATTAGATATAAATATTTTTACAGTCAAATACTCGTGATTATAAGCTAAAGTCAATCGTTTGTTAAGTTTGTTACAAAGTGAAAAATCGGTGCCATATTTAAATTTTTGAAATATACAGTAATATAAAATACATTTTAAAGTTTAAGGGAAATTTACCAGATTTAGGTAAAAGGAAAATTTACTTAACTATAATTTATAATATATGAATGACTTTTATTTAACAAGGGAATAAGAGTTTTAAAATGAATTTAGTCTGTAATATATAATAATATAAATAAATAAATATTTTATTAAACTTTTAATAAGCCTATCGTTTCAAACCTTTATTTATTATTCCTTATTATTCATAAAATTGAATAAAAAATTCAATTCTTAACAAAATAAATATCCATTTATTTTTGGATTGTATTTATATTGATGTAAAAATGTGTACAATTTTTATAAAAATATTTTATATGAAATGAAGTGAATATTATTTAAATATTTTGTTATATAAATAGCTTTTTATTATAAAAAGATTTAAATCTTAACTAATATATTTATGTATAAAAGCACATTTTTCATTTTTAAAAATATCAAATATATATCAAAAATTGGATTCAATTTGTTAAACATATTATGTTTTTTATTATGAAGAATATTCTTTTTTATTTAACAAACTGTAAATAAATTTTCATAAAAAGAATATTAATTCAATTTTAAGGCTTCTTGTTGTAGAATTTTAAACTTTTTTCTTTTAAAATAAGTGCATAAAAGTATATAATATACTGTATATATTTAAAGATAACATTTAAAAATCTTATATGTATTCAAATGTGTTGGCAATCATTAACCGGATTTAATGTGTACTTCAGTGAAATGTGGACCAAATTGTGAAGAACTTCAACATTTAAAATATGGAAATTCTTGTCTCTC